CCATGTTGAGTCCATGTCATTACTGTCTCAGGCCTAATATATGGCCTCTCATCTGCTGCCAGACAGGGAGCCCTGACACTGGGTGGTTCACTTGGTAAGAGCGTGGCACTAGCAACGCCAGAGTCGTGGGTTCGATTCCCACGGGGGTCACACACAGTACAACAAAAAATCATTATGACACAAAGAATCAAGTCAAAGTCATTAAATGATGGAGAATCTGAGAACATTGAAAAACATGGCTCTTTGTAAATGCATGTATCTATACTGTAGGTTGCAACAACATGGCTTTCACTCCTCATCTCGCAGAAGTTTCACTCTATTGCTCTGCCTTCCATTAGCAGTGGTGGAATAAGTACCCAATTTCCATACTTGAGTAAAAGTAAAAGATACCTTAATAGAAAATGTGTCAAGTAAAAGTGAAAGTCACCCAGTAAATACTACTTGAGTAAAAGTCTAAAAGTATTTGGTTTTAAATATACTTAAGTATCAAAAGTAAATGTAATTGCCAAAATATACTAAAGTATCAAAAGTAAAAGTAAAAATCATTTCAAATTCCTTATATTAAGCAAACCAGACGGCACGATTTTCTTGTTTTTTTTATTTACGGATAGCCAAGGGCACACTCCAACACACAGACATAATTTAGAAACAAAGCATTTGTGTTTCGTGAGTCCGCCAGATCAGAGGCAGTAGGGATGACCAGGGATGGTCTCTTGATAAGTGTGTGAATTGGACCATTTTCCTGTCCTGCTAAGCATTCAAAATGTAAAAAGTACTTTTGGGTGTCAGGGAAAATGTATGGAGTAAAGAGTACATTATCTCTTTAAGAATGTAGTGAAGTAAAAGTAAAAGTAGTCAAAAATATAAATAGTAAAGTAAAGTACAGATACCCACCAAAAATACTTAAGTATTACTTTAAAGTATTTTTACACCACTGTCCATTAGGCTACATTTTCTATACATTTTTAGAGTGTTGTGATTTAAATTGATTAAGTTCCTTAGTTAGAATTAAAATACATTCTAACCTGACATCAGGACTTCATCTTCCATCAACCTGCTTCTGTAGCGTTCCGATTTCATAGATCCTATCTGAGAACCAACTATTAATGCTTCCCCCTCTGAGACGACGTCCACCATCCATCCATCACACCACCACTAACATAAAAAATAAAAATAAACTTCCGTTCTTCACTAGGTCTATAACTCCACAGGAGATCCAGGGGTATGTAATGTAGGATGATCAAAAGCAGCACCTCTCCTCATCCAAACCTGACCCTGGCGGAACAGAGCGGCAGGCGTGTGGGGAGTGATACTTTAATTATACATCTGACAGACAGCGCCTGATTCACTAACACTAAACAAGGATTAGATGGAGGCAGATGTTATAGGAAGAACCATGGCTCTATAGCTGAGGGAAAGGTGGGAAGTCTCTGGGCAACTACCGTACCTTTTATTTAGCGAGAAGAAAATAGGCAAATAAGAAAGAGAGAAAAAGTTTTGTTAACGGGGGGCGGGGGGGGGGGGGGATGGATGTGGTGCCTGGCTTTCAAAGTTTCATTTAGCATTTCATTATGTTTGCACTATGTGTTGATGCGGTACAGTCACACGTACTAGGACCCTTCTGCTTCCCATCAGTGTGTCTGATGAAGAACAAAAAAGGATGCAAGGCTAAATAGCACCCTATGCCCTTTAGAGTGGCAACAAGTAGTGCACTATATGGGAATAGAGGGCCAAGTTCCAGTTGACGAAAAGGACAAAACCCCCCTCTTCAATCTAGCCCCAACTTCATCGGACTGACTGAGAGCCTCATCTTCACACCTGTCATTTCCAACGCTGATGAAGGGCTTTGCAAGTGAGCTCTGGTTTGAACGGCTGCCCACACAATTAAGAACTCACCATTCATTTAGATGGCCGTCCAGAAAAGCCTGAGGTCTGCTATGTATTATAATGTGGGTTCTACTAATCACTTCTTTACTGTAGCCAGCCAGAGAAACAGTAGCTAGCTACCCTGTGTACAATGCAGTGACAGTATGGGCTGATTGGGCTACGGCTAGCTAGGCTACAAAACTCTGCTGGTGGCCACTGATCACTTGTGGGGGTTCCCCAGTCTCCTTGGTTGCGGTGGCAGCCGCCAATCTGGCAACCGCTCGATCCAACCTGGCAACCCATCATCCAGGCTGGTGTGTGGCTGAGCTGAGTCACCTGGGCTGCTGGGTGGTCAGACCACAGCCAGGCCCTTCAGGCTGAATAGAGGAACAGGGCACAGGGCCATCTTCTAGACTCTATGGAGACCTGTCTCTGTCTGTCTGCAGTGTACTCACTCACTCACTCACATAAAGGCATCCAACTATCTACATGCATGGCTAACAAGGAACTAGCTAGCTCGTTGTGAGGAACTCTCACAAGTATACAACTATGGTACAAGCGGATGTTTATCTAGGAAATTAAATTTCACCCACTTCCCTCTTGCCAACTCCAAATAATTTACACAACTTTCCAGTACAAATGTGTAGATGAAGGTACCAAAGGTGCTACAGTAGCTATAGAAACTAGACAAGATGGAAGTCAAGATTGACATAGTCTGACTACTGGACGGACTGATTCCTATTCAGACGACCTGCTTCAGTCTAAGGCACAGAGGCAGCTTTGAGTGGGCTGTAAAGTGTTAACTCCACTTCAGACACGGAGACAGAAGACAGACACTAGATCTCTAGCAGAGCATGGTAACATATCACACAGTAGGTGTTTTCTCACCTCCTTCACCCCCTTCCTCTTCCTCAGAGAGTGGTGTTCAAAGCAGTCACTCTTCCCTCTCTTTCCCCGCATTCAAATGAGCGTGGCGCTAGCTACGTCTCCCCACGCCCGGCGCTCCCCCAGCGATCAGCACTTTGATCATCTCCAACGGGTAACTTCCAAACATTTAAAATTAAAATACATCTCAGGCTAACAACCTGTGCATTAGAATTTAACAGGTGTTCGGCGAGAGGAAGTCGTTATGGAATTTGCTATTATGCTGGAATACACACGCGCCCTGTCAGTGCAATTATAGCCTGGGAAACGGAGAAGCCTCTCCCTCCTGACTGGCTGTGATACCTTGGGATGATAACCTGATCTGTTCACTTTGATGTCAGTAGGTAAGGAAAGTTATGAGACAAAGCAGCCCAGGAGCCGGCTACATGTGCTCTGGGTAAACACAATTTAATATTGATGCCACACATCGGTTTTTACCCATAAGGCATGTGTGTGATTAGAGCTCGTTGGATGCCCAAAATATATGTGATCAGAGTTTCTTATGATGGAGGACGGATGGATGGATGCTGATTGGGGTGGAAGAATGAGAGACAGGGGTGTCTGCCTTGTATTGGTGGTGTCAGAAAGAACACATACACACACACACACTAAGACTTGTAACACACGCAAAAACACTCAGTTATAAACATGCATACACACACACACACTACACACCCGCCTGGAACGCGGCTCCTCTAGAATGTAGTATTAATTACTGGGGTAACACTGCATAGCTGTACTTAATTGCTCGCTAATTGATCCATTTATATTTCAACATTCATTCGGCTGAATTAATAGGGTTAAGTGAGACAGAGGCAATTGTAACTCACTTAACATTTGCACTGATATCTTTTGACTTCCTGTCCGGGGCGATGCTATCTGGAGGATTACCACCCGTCAAATTAGACAAACACAATCAATTTGTAAAGCAGCGAATAGCAAACCGTTCTGCCCGGTGTAAGAGCTCTCAGATCAGGACCTGTATGAATAACGTATCTCAGCGTAGGAGTGCTGATCTAGGATCCGTTTTACCTTTAGATTATAAATCAATTAGAATACATGGCCAGGGTGGACCTGATCTTAGATCAGCAATACGACAGTCTGATATAGTCTTGCTACTGTTGTGGATCTACGGACTGTGACTGACCATGTGTGGTCTAACCAATAGGGAGGATCACTCATAAACGCATCATTACAAGATATTAAGGGCTACTTTAGTTGATGGAGCTGGACAGACAGACACCATCTTGTTACTCTCTACCCTCTGGGTGTGACTAGAGAACAAGAGGGGAGACCCCATCAATCCTCAACACCATTACCCATCTCCAATTAAACCTGGACCTCCAGGGACGGAGAGGAACATCAAAATGGATGCTGCTTCTATGGTTCTATCACCTGAAGAGAATTTTCAATTGAGTCCCAGTCTAGATAGAGAGACGTAGGAGAGAGAGGGAGAGACGTAGGAGAGAGAGAGAGGGAGAGAGACGTAGGAGAGAGAGAGAGAGAGACGTAGGAGAGAGAGGGAGAGACGTAGGAGAGAGAGGGAGAGACGTAGGAGAGAGAGACGTAGGAAAGAGAGAGAGAGAGATGTAGGAAAGAGAGAGAGAGAGAGAGAGAGAGAGAGAGAGAGAGAGAGAGAGAGCCCCAAGAGTGGAAAGAGATCAGAACGCTACATGAAAGACACTGACATTGGGCTTTAACAGTGAAGGGAGGATCAGAAGATGGAGTGGTGGCCTGGAGACATGATATCAAGCCAAGTGCCTGATAAGAGTCTCTCTGTCTCTAAAGACCATCACCACCACCACCAGGGGCCTATTAACACCCACACCCTCCTCTCTCCCTGCCAGGCCGGACAATAATTAGACACTGGTTGAATGTCGGGGTCGGAGGTTAGATGTATGTCTATATGAAGGGTGGTGTAAGTGCTGGACCTTTATAAACAGCTTAGGCATGACATGGGGCATAAACAACATTCATTATTTCATCAGACAGTACTTAAAGTGTGAAAGTGCATGCAGTGGCGCGCATAAACACACACACACACACACACACAGATCTGTCTGCAATTAAAAACTTCTGCAGTAGACAATATGGCCACTCAGTTCACTGCCTCTGGCTGTACAGCACTCTCAATATAATCCCTGAGATAGGGAAAAAACTGGATTGTGACGCAAAATGTCTTCAACTTGCCTCTAGCTCAAACAGCTCACCTCAAAGTGTTTAGAGTTGGTCTGCCTGGCTAGGGGACCGGCTGGGGCCATGGTCTGTGGAGGCTGCTGCTGATTGTGTGTCTGTTGTTGTTGTTGCTGCTGTTGCTGTAGCCGACCTTGGAGCTGCACAATCTGCTGTTCCTTCTGGCCCAGCTGGGTTGTCAGGGCGACGTGACTCTGGCAGAGCCGGCCCTCGTTGGACTTGAGCGCCTGGTAACATATGCTCAGCTCGTTGTAGAGCTGTGGCCACAAGTGGAGGAGAGGGGAAAGTTAAAAAGAAACACTCATCACATCGGGTGCTGGCGGGACAGAGTCGTGACAAGGATTGTTCTCCTATTTCCATGGAGAAGATGAGAGGACAGATGCTAAGATCATCTGGAGAGAGAGAGAGAGAGAGAGAGAGAGAGAGAGAGAGAGAGAGAGAGAGAGAGAGAGAGAGAGAGAGAGAGAGAGAGAGAGAGAGAGAAGAGAGAGAGAGAGAGAGAGAGAGAGAGAGAGAGAGAGAGAGAGAGAGAGAAAGAAAAAGGGGGTGAAGGAGAAAGTGGGAGAGTAGTGGAAAGTGTAAAACCCCTGACTGGCCAGATTATTTTCGTCGTCTTTGTCCCACACAGACACTCCTGTTACAGACAGGGCTTACAATGGGTGGCTTGGCAGCCATGAGATCGGAACAACACTGAACATCTGAAGAGAGAATAAGTTTACTGCCTCACTGTAATGACGCTGTAAAGACAACACATTGTCAGCTTGCCTTGTGGGGGGTGGGTTAATGTGATTTTTTTTTTGGGGGGGTGGGTGGGTGATTTTTGGGGGGTGGTGATGTGCTTTTGGGGGTGGTGATGTGGTTTTGGCGGGTGGTGTGGGGTTTTGGCAGGTGGTGTGGGGTTTTGGCGGGTGGTGATATGGTTTTGGCGGGTAGTGATGTGGTTTTTAGTGATTTCATGGTGGTTTTACTGATAGGAGCTGGTGTCGGTTGTGGTCATGTATGTTAGAGTGTTATGGGGACTGGTTGAGTGTGATGTCGTGTGGTAGTGTATGGTTGAGTGTGATGTCGTGTGGTGAACTAATGGTAAAGTAACCGTATTTTAAGAGGTGGTATTGGCGCTGTGGGCCTCCTCATTGTAATGTATGCTATGGGTAGTGTGTTAGTAGTGTGTGCTATGGGTAGAGTGTGTTAGTAGTGTGTGCTATGGGTAGAGTGTGTTAGTAGTGTGTGTTATGGGTAGAGTGTGTTAGTAGTGTGTGCTATGGGTAGAGTGTGTTAGTAGTGTGTGTTATGGGTAGTGTGTGTAGTATGTGTGTTATGGGTAAGTGTGTTAGTAGTGTGTGCTATGGGTAGAGTGTGTTAGTAGTGTGTGTTATGGGTAGAGTGTGTTAGTATGTTGTTATGGTAGAGTGTGTTAGTAGTGTGTGCTATGGGTAGAGTGTGTTAGTAGTGTGTGCTATGGGTAGAGTGTGTTAGTAGTGTGTGTTATGGGTAGAGTGTGTTAGTAGTGTGTGCTATGGGTAGAGTGTGTTAGTAGTGTGTGTTATGGTAGAGTGTGTTAGTAGTGTGTGCTATGGGTAGAGTGTGTTATGGTTAGAGTGTGTTAGTAGTGTGTGTTATGGGTGTGTTAGTAGTGTGTGTTATGGTAGAGTGTGTTGTAGTGTGTGTTATGGGTAGAGTGTGTTGTAGTGTGTGCTATGGGTAGTGTGTGTTGTGTTGTGTTATGGGTAGAGTGTGTTGTAGTGTGTGTTATGGGTAGAGTGTGTTAGTGTGTGTGCTATGGTGGTGTGTTGTGTTAGTGTGTTGGGTGGTGTGTTAGTAGTGTGTGTTATGGTAGAGTGTGTTGTAGTGTGTGCTATGGGTAGAGTGTGTGTAGTGTGTGTGCTATGGGTTGTAGGTGTGTTAGTAGTGTGTGCTATGGGTAGAGTGTGTTAGTAGAGTGTGCTTAGTATGTGTGTTTAGTGTGTGTGTTATGGTTAGAGTGTTAGTAGTGTGTGTTATGGTAGAGTGTGTTAGTAGTGTGTGTTATGGTAGAGTGTGTTAGTAGTGTGTGCTATGGGTAGAGTGTGTTATGTAGTGTGTGTATGGTAGAGTTTGTGTGTGTTAGTAGTGTGTGTTATGGTTGAGTGTGTTTGGTAGGTGTTGTGTGTTCTGGTCGAGTGTGTTAGTAGTGTGTGCTATGGGTAGAGTGTGTTAGTAGTGTGTGCTATGGGTAGAGTGTGTTAGTAGTGGTGTGTCTATGGGTAGAGTGGTGTTAGTGTGTGTGCTATGGGTAGAGTGTGTTAGTAGTGTGTGCTATGGGTAGAGTGTGTTAGTAGTGTGTGCTATGGGTAGAGTGTGTTAGTAGTGTGTGCTATGGGTAGAGTGTGTTAGTAGTGTGTGCTATGGGTAGAGTGTGTTAGTAGTGTGTGCTATGGGTAGAGTGTGTTAGTAGTGTGTGCTATGGGTAGAGTGTGTTAGTAGTGTGTGCTATGGGTAGAGTGTGTTAGTAGTGTGTGCTATGGGTAGAGTGTGTTAGTAGTGTGTGCTATGGGTAGAGTGTGTTAGTAGTGTGTGGTAATGGGGTAGAGTGTGTTAGTAGTGTGTGCTATGGGTAGAGTGTGTTAGTAGTGTTAGTAGGTGTGTTCTGTGTTATGGGTAGGTGTGTTAGTAGTGTGGTTGGTATGGGTAGAGTGGTGTTAGGTAGTGTGTGTGCTATGGGTTATGGAGTGGTGTTAGTAGTTGTGTTGGTGATGGGTAGGTGGTGTTAGTAGTTGTGTGTGTATGGTAGAGTGTGTTAGTAGTGTGTGCTATGGGTAGAGTGTGTTATAGTGTGTGTAGGTAATGGTGTAGTAGTGTGTTATGGTAATGTGTTGTGTGTTATGGTAGAGTGTGTTAGTAGTGTGTGTTATGGGTAAGTGTGTGTTAGTAGTGTGTTGGTAGTGTGTTAGTAGTGTGTTGTGTAGTGTGGTAGGTGTGTTCGTAGTGTGTGTTTTGTGTTGAGTGTGTATGGTGAGTGTGTTTTGTGTGCTATGGTTAGAGTGTGTTAGTAGTGTGTGTTATGGGTAGAGTGTGTTGTAGTGTGTGTTTATGGTGATGTGTTAGTAGGTGTGTGGGTAGTGGGTAAGGTGTGTTGTCGTAGGGTGTAGTAGTGGTGATTAGTAGTGTGTTGTAGTGTGGTTGTATGGTAGATGTGTGTTAGGTCAGTGTGTGTTATATGGTGTATGGTAAGTGTGTTAGTAGTGTGTGCTTGGTAGGTTGTGTGTGTATGGTAGATGTTATAGTGTGTATGTAGTAGTGTGTTATAGGTAGTAGGTGTGTTAGTAGTGTGTGCTATGGGTAGAGTGTGTTAGTAGTGTGCTATGGTATGGTTAGTGTGTGTTGTAGTAAGTGTGGTAGGTTGTTTGGTAGAGTGTGTTAGTAGTGTGTGCTATGGGTAGAGTGTGTTAGTAGTGTGGGGTGGTAGAGTGTTTATGTAGTGTGTTTATTGGTAGTAGTGTGTTGTAGTGTGTTGTTTAGTGTGTTAGTAGTGTGTGCTATGGGTAGAGTGTGTTTAGTAGTGTGTGCTATAGGTGTGTTAGTAGTGTGTTATGGTAGTGTGTGTAGTGTGTGTTGTAGTGGTTAGTAGTGTGTGTAGGTAGAGTGTGTTAGTGTGTGTTAGGGTAGTGTGTTAGTAGTGTGTGCTATGGTAGAGTGTGTTAGTAGTGGTGTATGGTAGGTGTGTTAGTAGTGGTGTGTTATGGTAGAGTGTGTTAGTAGTGTGTGTATGGTAGAGTGTGTGTATGGTAGAGTGTGTTAGTAGTGTGTGCTATGGGTAGTGTGTTAGTATGTGTGTATGGTGAGTGTGTTAGTATGTGTGCTATGGTAGGTGTGTTAGTAGTGTGTGCTATGGTGGTTGTTAGTATGTTGTATGGGTGAGTGTGTTAGTAGTGTTGTATGGGTAGAGTGTGTGTAGTATGTGTCTATGGGTAGAGTGTGTTAGTAGTGTGTGTATGGTAAGGTGTAGTAGTTAGGTAGATTGTTAAGTGTGTGTTATGGTAGAGTGTGTTAGTAGTGTGTGCTATGGGTAGAGTGTGTTAGTAGTGTGTGCTATGGGTAGAGTGTGTTAGTAGTGTGTGTTATGGGTAGAGTGTGTTAGTAGTGTGTGTTATGGGTAGAGTGTGTTAGGTGGTGTCTGCAGTGTGAATCTCTTCCTGGTTACAGAGGACTCTGGGTATTGTAGTGTAAATGAAAAGAGTGGTAGTATGTAGTATAGTTAGTTACCTTCTGATAAGAGGTGGTGTCTGCTGTGTAAGCCTCTTCCTGGTTACAGAGGACTCTGGGTATTGTAGTGTAAATGAAAAGAGTGGTAGTATGTAGTATAGTTAGTTACCTTCTGATAAGAGGTGGTGTCTGCAGTGTGAGCCTCTTCCTGGTTGCGTAAGACTCTCTGTGTATCTAGGTTGAGCCCCTCCAGTTGCTGGATGAGCTGGGCCTGCTCTGCTGCATGCTCACTACTCTGTCTGTACAGGGCCTGCAACTCCTGCAGCTCACGCCTGTACACACACACACACACACACACACACACACACACACAGCAACATCAAATACCTACTATACAAACATATTCAAAATATTAATAATTATTGACCAATCTGTGGCATAATGATACCAATCTTACTAAAGTACAATGACATCTTCAATCACTTATAACACACAGAGCGTTCCCTAAGCCGGATGTGACTGGCTGACATCTCTCAGTGGCACGACGCTAAGACACAGAGTAGTTAAAAAAAGGTGAGATTACCCACTAAGGCTCCTGGGTTCTCACAGTTTTTATCATATTGACTAAAGCTTAGCCAAAGCCAGCACCATTTCCCCTCCGTGACTCTACCTCTCCAAAGCACATCTGGTATGCAGAGCTTATCAAGTGGTTCTAGATGAGGAATTGTGTGTCGCCTCAGAGGCTGAGGGTGGAGAGACGGCTAGAGCCTCTCACACACACACACACCCCCCCTACTCTAAACTGGTTTAACTGAGACTGTAGTGGATAATGAAAGCCACCTAAAAGTAAATCTAATTTAGCAAGATTATAAATTGATACGGGACATTTTTTAATTGAGGGTCATTTCACGGTACACTTTATACTTAAAAAGGTATACAAAAACGACATCAACTTGACAGACCAAATTGAATGCATGGGAAATACTGCCTGTGACATTTACTATGCTTCCTCTGCGGAAGCATAGTTCCCGCTCAGCCCAGTCAAAGCTGTTCGCTGCTCTGGCACCCCAATGGTGGAACAAGCTCCCTCACGACGCCAGGACAGCGGAGTCACTCACCACCTTCCGGAGACATTTGAAACCCCACCTCTTTAAGGAACACCTGGGATAGGATAAAGTAATCCTTCTACCCCCCCCCCAAAAAAAAATATATAGGGTATAGGGTGAATGCACCAATTTGTAGTCGCTCTGGATAAGAGCGTCTGCTAAATGACGTAAATGTGCCCTTGAGCAAGGCACTTAACCCTAATTGCTCCTGTAAGTCGCTCTGGATAAGAGCGTCTGCTAAATGACTAAAATGTAAATGTAAATGTAAAATGTATCCATGACGATGCCAAAGCACAGATGTCATGGCACATCTCACAGCAGTTACAATTACTTTTAATGCAAGGTGTCCGAGAGTGTACTGAAAGGCGTCTGTCAAATAACATTTATTTGTATTATGTTTTATTATGACCTGAGTTGGGTGACGTGTTGGTCCCTCTGTGCCACCTCCTTCTGCCTGGAGGAGAGGAGGTCTGCCAGGCTGCTGCACTGGCCCTGAAGGTCTGCCACCTGCCGCTGGGCATCGCTCAGATCACCCTCCATCTCCTGCCATGGTGGGCAAGAAGAGGAATATCAGTCAATCAATCAATTAAATGTACTTATGTCTTTTTACATCAACAGTTGTCACAAAAACATGCTGTAGAACAGGGCTGTCCAACCCTCTTCCTGGAGATCTACGGTCCTGTGGGTTCAGTCCAACCCTCATTTAACAACCTGATTCTACTTATTAGCTGCTCAACAAGACCTTAACTAGCTGAATCAGATTCGCTCAATTAGGGTTGGACTGAAAACCTACAGGACAGTAGATCTCCAGGAAGAGGGTTGGGCAGCCCTGCTTCTGTCCACGGAGGGCCGAGTGTCTGAGGGTTTTCGCTCCACCCTTGTCATTGATTGATGAATTAAGGACACTGATTAGTAAGAAGCTCCCCTCACCTGGTTGTCTAGGTCTTAATTGAAAGGAAAAAACTAAAACCAGCAGACACTAGGCCCTCCATGGAATGAGTTTGACACCCCTGGTCTAGAGTAACCGTGCTTGTGTTTGTTGTACAAATGACTATGAACTTTGTATTCCTCAGTGAATTTGGTACAGGCTTGGTGTTCCTGTTCCCAACTGAGTTTCAGTATGGCGTACACAAACAAAGTAGACGCACTAATTCAAAGCCAAAACAACGGCCAGAGGCCAGGACACAGTGTATGACTGGTCTCTGCCCTGACTGAGTCCTCGATGACGTTACATGTTGATGTTGTGTTGCTGGACTCCACTAATGGCCAAACAACTCTTAACATTAAGAGCCAGAGAGATAAGAGGTCTGAAAGTGTCTGAGCACTAAGGGTCATCTTAAAACATCACAAGAGACTCTCTCCTTTTAACGAGAGGCTACAATTACAACGGGGCAGACCCGGCCGCCTGGCATCAAACACACAGGGGGCATCGGGACAAGTCTGACTGTAATTAAAAACAGCTTCAATCACCGACGCTGGTGAAATTAATGGCCACAAATTAATGGCAGCAAATTAGCCACCGGCGGCCATTTTGTAAAGTAAAGTTGGTGCTATGGACGGAGAGATAACACTACTAGTACATCAACAAAATCAGTGCATAGTTGTGACTTCTTGTAACTTTTTAATGTTTCATTCTTGAACAGACATATTGTTATAAATTGGTGTGGAATTCTTGTGCATTCCATGTGTTCCATCCAGATCTCAGAGTTCCACATCACACCATGGTATTAAACCCTGACTAGGAGCAGAGCCAGGTGAGTGTCTGTCTGTCTGTTTGTCTGTGTCTGGTGATGTGATTGATGTGCATAGTGGAGTTGTTACTAGGGCCCTGTCATAATTACACCCTGGCCCTGACTTATTCAAAGCCCTCTCTTCCTCTCTCCCTCCCGTCTGTCTGCCCGTCTCTCTGTCTGGCTGTCTCTCTCTCTCTCTCTCTCTGTCTGTCTGTATGTCTCCCTGTCTCTCCGTCTGCCTGTCTCTCCGTCTGCCTGTCTCTCCGTCTGCCTGTCTCTCCGTCTGCCTGTCTCTCCGTCTGCCTGTCTCTCCGTCTGCCTGTCTCTCCGTCTGCCTGGGTCTAGCTCAGACACTTGACTGGAGGGGCGCTGATGAAAAATGACTGTTGGCTGGTACTGAGGAGAGTTGTGCACTGTGCGTCAGCGGAGTGTGTCTGTCTGTGCGTGTTCGAGCCTCTGTGTGTCCACGGAGCCCCACCAAACTCTACTATTGATGGGCAGTTGTGTTATGTTCCAAGAGGGTAGTGGGAAGGGGGTTGGTAGTGGTGGTATTGGTGGTGGTGGTGGTGGTAGTGGTAGTAGTGGCGGTAGTGGTAGTAGTGGTGGTAGTAGCGGTGGTAGTAGTGGTGGTGATAGTGGTGGTGGTGGTACTGGCGTTAGTAGTGGCGGTAGTGGTAGTAGTGGTAGTGGTGGTAGTAGTGGTGGTAGTGGCGGTGGTAGTGGCGGTGGTGGTAGTGGCTGTGGTGGTAGTGGTAGTGGTGGTAGTAGTGGCGGTAGTAGTGGCGGTGGTGGTAGTGGTGGTGGCGGTAGTGGTGGTGGTAGTGGCGGTAGTGGTAATGGTGGCAGTGGTCTCCTGTGAGTTGTCACTGATTGGTTGACTGACTGTTTGAACAACATGTGTCCAACGTGCTGCTGTGGTGATTATTTTGTTGCGAGGCTGATTAGAGTGTGAGAGTAAAGTTGATCCATAATAATGAGGAGGGGGAGAGATTCATATCACTGATTCTGCTAATTAGCTACATGAATAAGGTGAGGGAGAAAACGCACTACAGTCGTCCAGTGATCACATCGGGGGACTTGGTCGGGGCTCGGCTTCTTCTTTTTCTCACCAGACGAGACTTGGGTCCAAAATGTTAAAAAACGTAATTATTTCTCCCACCCTCTGAACAGGGCCATCAATATTTAAAATGTGTGCTTTGCAAGAGGAATTATTTGACATTCATATATTGAGGAGGGAAAAGAAGGAGGGGATGTTCAAGGTGTGCAGAAGAAAGGGAACCCTTCCTGTGTGTGTGTGTGTGTGTGTGTGTTCCCCTCTCCACATGGCATCTCTCTGTGTGTTACCTTGACTTTGGCGTCCGCGGCGGCCCTCTCCTCTCTGTGTCTCCTCTCCTGCCTCTGTGCCTCCTCCAGGTCGCCGCGCAGGGCAGAGCAGCAGGACTCTAATCCCTCCTTCTCCTCCTCAAGGCCCTCTTCTCTCCTCCTCCTCTCCTCCTTCACATCCTGAACCAGGGAGGGGGGCAAGAGTCACAGGGCCAGATAAACAACACCGACGGATGGAGAGAGGGAGAGAAAAGAAAGAAAGGGAAAGAGAGAGGAGGAAAAAAAGTAGCATGTGGTTTTGAGGAGGATGAGATGGGATGAATATGTAGAATGTAAAGTCAGTACTGTTCTGTGTTGGTTGGGGCCTCCGCTTCTCAGCTCCACTGTGGCCCCCCATGCATGTCTGATTGGCAAGGTCACCTGTGCTGTGAGGCTGTGAGGGCCGGGGCTAACTGTGTGGCAGGTATCAGGGGCCACGCAGCTTCTCCCTTTAATGACAGGCCTCCTAATGAGAACACACTTTGCTACAACATCCATTACATCTGATCCCAGCCTCCTTTGATGCTTCCCCCGCTTATTTTTGATTTCATCGGCGAGACCCCGCAATGCAAAGACGCAGCCGTGGACCTCGAGATCGCTCCTTTATCAATTAATCATAGCCAGGGTCCCATCAGGGCCATAATTAGGGAGAAGCCACATAATCACATGAACGCGTTACTTTCACTCCCCTCCATGGTCCGTCATTAAGTATTTATCTATAGGCAAGTTATCGGCTTCTCTCTCCCTCGCTATCTCTGGCTTTTCAGCATTCTCCGTCTGCTCAAACCCCTCAGTTTGGAGGCATGAGAGAGAGAGAGAGCGAGAGAGAGCGAGAGAGAGCGAGAGAGAGAGATCTGGCCTGCTCGAGAACAAGAAAAATCACATAGTTTGTTTATTTTCCTCCCCCTGCCTCTCTAAGTGATTTTGAGGCCTCAGGCTACAGTATAGCCCTGGGGGACACGTCCTGTTTGGTGTCACAGTGAAAAGACTAGTAGCTGCCTACAAGCAGCCAGAGAGCAGAGGCTTCAAAGCGGCGGCAGGCAGGCGGGTGCCACTGGAAATTTGTTCCAAACCTTAAGTTCTTGACTCTTATTCCCCAGCTTGTGGCGCAGAGCTGCCAGCTCCTTCTTCATTAGGCCTCTGTCCTCGTCCACAGCCATCTTCCTCTGGACCAGGTTGGTGATCTCCTGCTGCTGCCCTGTCACTCTCTGTTTCAGCCAACAGAGGGAGTGGGGGAGAGCAAGAGAGAGATTGAGAGAGAGATGGAAAGAGAGAGACAGAGATGGGGGAGAGAGAGAGAGAAAGATAGATGGAAAGAGAGAGAGAGAGAGATAGATGGAAAGAGAGAGAGAGAGAGATGGAAAGAGAGACGTTAGTCATCAACAGGAATCTTGGGCAACGGGAGGGAATAAACTGTTTATGGATTGTGGAAGGAAGTAAGCATTACAGTAACTACAGGGGTCCCATTTTGGATTAATCAGAGGCTCCAGTTGACAGAGAGGGGGACATTCAGTATGAGCCCCTGTAATAAAATGGCCACTGGTGAGGAGGACACAGTTTGATCTCATGTGAGGTCTAATCTACTCCACATCTAACCACTCTGTCCAACTCACCTTCTGTGTCAGTTCGGTTCAGATCTGGCAGATATTGACAAGGCCTGTGACCGGGCCAGCACCTTCCTTCTAACCCCTGATCTCAGAACAGGTGCTGAAGGAGACCCTTCACCCTGTACAAGCCCTCACTTTCATAATACTGGCCTCAGTACACCTCCGTACACATGAGCCAACTCATGTACTGTAGGTCACACACCCCTGTATGTGCTAACCTCACCACTTACAATATTACACAACGAGCCAATTACATAGAATAAGAGCACTGTAATACTGTCTAATAGGTCTAGGCCTGTATAGAATAATGAACTACTGCTCTGTACATTTACAATACAGTTACCATGATAGCCTAATCAAAACGATGCTTCTCATCTTTACTAACAAACTAGAACAAAGGAATCAAACGATGAAAAATGGTTCCATAATTTTAATGATCCATCTTTTTTTTTTATCTTCCTGCCGGCTAGTCTTCTGGCAGGCCTATAGCTGGGCGATTGTAGGAGGGAGGACGCTGCCCTTTTAAACACTGCATCAGCTGGGCTCTGGCATGGCAGTAATCCACTGCAGGCTGCGGGTAGCTCTAAAATAACACTGTGCTCTGGGATGCAATTAATTGCCATGTTGGGGGAATCACTCAAATCTTTTCCAAGATCGTGGATTTACTCAACGCCTTCCTGTCCTCGTTGGCCATGCAAAAACAGGCTTTAATAGAGATTTATACGGGCGAAGTGGAAATACATTCAAACGTTGATAATGAGGTGGGCGAGAACAATTTCAACTCCAGTAGTGTTCGATTGGTAAGAAATAGGTTTAGGGGAAATTAAGAGGTCTAGGACAGAGAGATTAGCATTCAAAATTCCCAGTGCAGTTCAAAAATGAAAGCTAATTATGTTACAAAAATGGAAGGGAGTGGAGACGAAAGACAGCGGAGGAGAAAGAGAGAAGTAGAGATAGAGGTAGAGAGAGGTAGAGAGAGAGAGGTAGAGAGAGAGAGGTAGAGAAGTAGAGAGAGAGAGATAGGTAGAAAGAGAGAGGTAGAGAGAGAGAGAGACAAAGAGAGGAGAGAAGAGAGAGACAAAGAGAGGAGAGAAGAGAGAGACAAAGAGAGGAGAGAAGAGAGAGACAAAGAGAGGAGAGAGAGAGAAGAGAGGTAGAGAGGAGAGTAGAGAGAGGAGAGAAGTAGCAAGAGAGAAGAGAGGTAGAGAGGAGAGGTAAAGCGAGAGAGGAAAAAATAAAGAAGAGGAAAAAAGATTGTCAAAGTTGGAGTGGAGACGTTAAGAGGACTAGCGTGAGGTCCTGTGTGGACTCAGCAGACCATCACATTTAGAGAACAGTAAAGGGGGGGAAACCAATTAATCACCATTTGGGTTCCTTTGGCCCAAATCTGGACGAGATGATGAATGTCAGTGGTCTGTATGACACTGCACACAATCCTGACTATTAATGAGCTTTGCAAATCGGCCGGAACTTTACCAACCAGAATTTCTACTGCTCTTATAAAGAACTTTAGATCAAGATCATGTTGAGGAATATTATGCAGTGAGTAGGAACATACTGTCAGGTCTATTAAGACTTGAGCGGTGTCTGGTGGTCATCAAAGGTAGCCTAGCGGTTAAGATTTGGGCCAGTAACCAAAAGGTCGCTGGCTCAAATCCTCGTGCCGACTAGGTAAAAAAATATGTCGATACGCCCTTGAGGAAGGCACTTAATCCGAAATACTCCTGTAAGTCGCTCTGGATAAGAGCATCTGCTAAATGACACCCCCCAATTTGTTTTTTTTTTTACAAATGTACATGACGAAGCAGATGAATGAACCTGCCTGCGTCCTTTCCTTCATTCACCCTCACAGTGACAGTGTTTGACCGATAAAGTTATTTGAATTAGATACAATTTTGAAATCTCTGCCAGCACTCTTTTTCTCAGAACAAACAGAGCAGTGGTAAGAAAATCATTTGTAACCTCTATTGCGCTCCACAGCTCTGGCTAATTGTACATAGCTACATCAGTGTTAAGATGAGTGAGGAGGGCAGGATAGACACACTGTTAAAGAGCTGCTGATGATAGCATTAGCGCCCGTCTCTGATGGGATGATGTTAGCGTAGCATTAGCCAGACTGACAGAGAAGGTTGCTAATGTAATGACAGAAACTGACAGATGCTGCCGTTAAGGGACGATGATTAAGGGTAAATTACAGTGCGTCACCGTTATCATTAACTGTCCTAGCAGCACATAGAACACACTTACTGAGCCACTGGTATAGGTGGGTATAGAGTTAGCACTTGCGCTAGTGATAGGGCTTGCCTCAGACAAACCCTAGACCTAGGGGTCTTTTCTATAACAGGACTGACTGAATGTAGGTTAGACTGGACGTGCACTCTCACTCAGACAGACTTCAATTTAAATGCATCCCTTCATATCAAATGGAAGATAACTTCCTATGGGAGATATCTCTATAAAGACACCAGGATACGACAGAGAAAATCCTATGGGAGATATCTCTAGAAATACCAGGATACGACACAGACATGGTTCACGAACTATGCATTCCACATATCATAACAACAATACCTGGTCCAGCTCCTGGATCTTGTAGTCTTTGGCCTGCAGGATCTCCAGCACTTTGCGGTCCTTGGCTTCAGCTTTCCACTTCTCTCTGTTGGGGACACAGAGAAACATAGAAATATCATGTTAATCTATGTCATTCTATTTCTATGGAGAGAGCCATATAAATATAATATATATGTCATTGTTTTTCTATGAAGAGAGCCATAGAAATAGAAATGAAGAGACATAATGTTAATCTATGTCATTCTATTTCTATGAAGAGACCATACAAATAGAAATGAAGAGACAATGTTAATCTATGTCATTCTATTTCTATGAAGAGACCATACAAATAGAAATGAAGAGACAGTGTTAATCTATGTCATTCTATTTCTATGAAGAGACCATACAAATAGAAATGAAGAGACAATGTTAATCTATGTCATTATATTTCCATGAAGAGACCATACAAATAGAAATGAAGAGAGAGACATAAAACACATAATCTGTGTCATTCTATTTCTATGGAGAGAGAGTGGCAGCGCGGTGAAGTGACTGCGAGGCCCAGAGCTGAAGCATCGTTAGCAGCTCGTCTCCAACGACTCTCTGGTCCTGGTAATGATGATGGGTGTCATTTGGAGGCATTAGGGTGATGTGGCGGTGACAGATCCACCACTGAGAGGATCTAGCATATGGCAAACGACAGCAAACAAGCTCATCTGAGGGGAAATTATAACTTTATTCGTATAATAAACGGGAAAATCCATTCAGTGCAAAGGTTTACAGAGTATTGAATGTTATCAGAGAACTGAATATGCTATGCCAAATGAATGTAGTCTGTGACCCCCATGATAGCACATTATTTTAGGCTCATAATGTCCCGTCCTGTCTGATGCTGCTGTCGTCATGGGGTAAAGGACAAATACATTAAATGGCCGTTTGAAAACTAAACACAGAAACACTCAATATCAAGCAAATATCTGTGCAATAGGCATAAAACTCATTTAGTTGAAATCAGGCAACCAAATGAAAACAAAGAGTGCCTTAAAGAAAAGGAGGTCACAGGAAGAGAAGATAACCCAAAGTTGTGTGTTCAAACACTCAGCGGGCTCCCTGGGCGCTGGCAGGCAGGCAGACAGGCACCAGAAGTATGTCAATCAGCACCCCAGTGTCATTTCACTGCTCTCCAGATAAGGTAATTACCAGGACGACATCAAACCTGGACTCCTATTCAGCACACACACACTACGCAAACTTTTTCTCCCTCCCTCCCTTTCTCTCTCTTTCTCTCTGCCCCATTGGGCCATGCAGCAGCAGCCTGTTCCAGCAGCATATCTTTCATTCTGGCTCAAACCTCTTTTCTCCTGCTCACTGTTTGGGGAGAGGAGACAAAACAATACAGATCGGGGCCAGTTAGTTTCAACAGCCCTCCAACCAACCCCCCACCTCTCCCCGTTCCGCCACCCCAATCCAGGCCCCTCTCCTCCCTTTGCCTTGTCTGGCTCCCCCCCCCCCCCACCCTCCCCCCGGAGGGACATTGAAACGAATGCCTGGTCTCCTCGGAGTCAAGCGCTACCTTGTATCCTTTGCCGTGTTAACCGTGTCCTGAGCAACCATCCAATCGCTACAAGACCAGCTGGAATCCCCAATAGGCCCGGCGCTTGACTGGAGTCAGCGCAATTATCATGTCAATATACCCGCCGTGTGCAGCGCGGTGCCAGTGTGCTGATAGACTACACACACACACACACACACACACACACACACACACACACACACACACACACACACACTCTCTGGGTGCATGTTACCCAGGCCCCTGTGGACCAACATGCTTTGTTGGGTTTTCCTATGGGGGGCTGTGGGGGGATGGGAGGGATGGGGAAACTGCCTGAGACACAGATAGAGAGAGGATCCTAACCTGGCGTACATGTTTTTCCCCCCTGAAACCAAACGTCTGAGGCTCCTGCCAACTGACACAGTTTATTTTGTGCGTCTGATGTTCCAAAAGGCAGGAGAAGGTAGAATATAGGCCTGCTAGATCTAATACATGAAAAGTAGCCAAAATCTTGGTATAATTGCATTTTTTACTGCATTTAGCATGGAAAGGACTAAACATCTAGGCCTAGACCTACTACAGTACATTTAAATGCTGTTATTAACAGAAATTACAGTAGTCTTTGTTTAGAAATGAAATAATGCACAACAATTCTTTAGAATCCTCATTCTGTTTACGATCCGCTTGGTATGGCTTTATGAAAACAACCTTTTGACATAGCATTTTAAATCAAACAACTTCCCAACAGAAGTTTTGAAAAGAACACACATGCCTGAACTCACACTATTACCATGTATCACTGCAGTAGTTCAAATACCTGAAGCCCTGTTCTTTTCAACCAGTTCCCATGCTGATGTATTCTATGCGGCTTAGTTGCCCCTCGCAAAAGGTCATCTTCAATCTAACGTTTTATCCCGTAAAAAACGAAGCACTTGGCAGTGAACGTTTTCACAGTTTTAGAATGGGAGCCGAGCGAGACTGTTTTCATTAAAGCGGGTGGTTTCCATTGCTGAGCAGCTAGACTGGGGATAAGAGGGCTTAAAGCAGCATCTGCACTATTCAGCGGTAACCCCAGCAGAATGGCCAAGGTGCCTCACACACACACAACCTTGGATAACTTCCAGCAGACGTACTTCCCTACCTCCTTCTGTTTCACTTTGGAGATGGGATTTCTGGGAGATCTTACGCCCACTGAACATTTCTTCACAGGTAGTGGTATGGAGATTAGTTACAGGCCATGCTTTGAGAGATATCAAGTATGGGTGAGAGGGAGCCGTGACATTTCGGAGCAGTTTCAATTACTAACTCACCGTTCCACCACTAGACTGACGGCCTGGGTCAGGTCCGGATTGGCCACTTGGAGGCGTTTCCATAGGGACCACACAAACTCCTTGTCGGCCTGTGAAAAGAACAAACAATTTCATGGTTATGAATGATTATACTCAAATCTTATTATTATGCAAAAAATGTGGCATGTGGTAGTCTTAATGAACCACGTATACACACAACAACACAGAAATATTGCATTTCCTTTCCTATTTTTCCACATCCTTTCCCGAAATAATAACACAATTTCTCACATCTTAAAACGCAATTAGTGGGAGGCGATGTTATAGCAATTCTAAATGAAATACAAATAATTCAATGAGATGCTCGATGACATTAGCATATATGGGGGTGGGACCAACCCAATCAATAATTAAAATGGCTTGTACAAAATAATACTTTAGATGTGGTGTGCCTTCTCTAATCATTACTGGAGTGTGACCTTCGGCTCAAGGGGAGGCTACATTGACACTTGTCATAATGCACAATTCATGACTGGGGAGTTGGAGATCAAATCAAAAACAGCCGTTAAAGCAGCATATCCCTTATTAATAAAGTGCATCTGATTCTGGATGTTTTTCTCTGCATCTTTAAAGTAACTTGTGGAGGAGAAACTCTAAACTGATGACAGAGAGACTCCTCTAAGGCGCAGAGAGTTGAGATCCTCAGCCCCTGACACATTTCCAATTCAAATTGACTCGCCGCCCAAAAAATAGCGTTCAATGTTTTATTTTTTCTAAAAAACGACATTTTCGGCACACTAAAAGACAGAATTATGCCAAATCGACTTAATATAAAATCATCTGTTAAATTATGTTCACATCATCATAAGATGAAAAGTCATCACTCCCACTGGAATCTACTGGTCTCCAATTAGTACATGAATTTTAAACCCCCATTCAAAAGTGTCTAATCAATTATTTACTAAATGGCAGAGGCAAACCTTGGTAGACCATGGGCTGAACATACAAAGTGGAGAGAGCAGAGTAGATCCTTATTGGATGAATAGAGATCTCACCAATCCTGGTCCAGCACTGCCGTTAATGACGAATTAAGAAACGGGGCTTCACATCCAATAGGTGGTCTCTCTTCTCCTGGCCTATGGCTGCCATTAGCCCTTACATGCTTACACTCAGACTCCTCGCCAGGACCCTCACCACCCATATCAAGGGCTTCTCCACAGTATTAAAGATGTATCGAATATGTTTTTGATGATCACTGAATTATTCATTGTAATTGCAGACCTTGAAAGACCATGGGCTAAACATACTAAGTGGGCCTGGAATGCAGCCACATATTAATACAATTAGCATGGTCAAGTAGGAACATTTTCTGTCCGACAAGACGGGCCACTTTGTAGTTAATGGCGGTCCTGAGAACGCTGTGCTAGAGACTTTAGACATGAATGGCATTTCAAATGCCACGATTTGAATGGTACACGGTACAACTAACACTTTCTAACAGTCACTAAGAGACAGACAGAATCATTGATGCTCTCTCTCTCCCCAGACCAGACCACCGAGGAGAACTGATTGATGTCAGTTCAATACATACAGTAACTGGTTGATGTAAAGGAGGCTGTGAGTGACTTGGGTCTGGATCATGTCTGACAGACAGGCCATACATATGCTGCTCAGTGCTTTATACTGAACCTTGAACTGAGTGATACTCCCTTCAATACATGTTGGGATTATCAGGACACAAATAGTCTCAAATATAAAAATAAATAAAACTACTGTAAACAGGCAATATCTATGCTGGACTCAAAAGACAGAGCCTTGTATACTGTAGACTGAAATATTTGTCAATATATTCGCCCATATACACACTCACAGAGGTGAGCTTCCCATTATGTGTGAGTGTGAATATGCAAAGTGAGATGCTGATTCCAGGTAAGTCCACCATTTATGTTTTTAGGCACCACCTGGTGGCGAGCCTGTAAGGACATGACAGCATCTCTCCATCACAGCATCAGAGAGAGACTGTGGCTTGTTCAGGAGGATGCAACGTTACAGTATGTTCTAGATAGAAATATAACGTGTAGAGCTAAATGTGTTTGTGATTAACTGGGAGTTCAGTTCTACAAATCAGTTTCTATCTGCAACGTTCTAAATGCTGAAACTCACAGATTAGCCTATGACCCAAATATTAAATAGTCATAGCCTATGTTGCAGGGAATGTGCAGTAGCCAGGAAAAGGGTAGTAAATAATCTGTTAAATCATCTCTCTCTGGTTCCTGTATGGCTCAGTTGGTAGAGCATGGCAGTTGCACCACCAGGGTTGTGGGTTCGATTCCCTGGCCCACCCATACGTAAAAATAATGTATGCACACATGACTGTAAATCGCTTTGGATAAAAGCATCTGCTAAATGTCATATGAAATCTGTGAATGTATTGTAATGTTTTTAAAATTGTATGAACTGCCTTAATTTTGCTGGACCCCAGGAAGAGTAGCTGCTGCCTTGGCAGCAGATAATGGGGATCCATAATAAATACAAATATAGTTGTGTCTATCAATATTTTCCTATGTTTATTAGTGCCTTGCAGTGTGTATTTGTCAGCACTTAACTACTTGCTTCACAAGTGAACCGTTTCTAATGCAAGTTAAGATAAACTGATTTCTGTTAAACAACACAGAAAATGTTGGCAACAACATAGCTAGATTCAACTGTTGACTAAATAAACAATACCATCCAGCACAGTCACCTGGCATTGCACTAACTCCTCAGTTAAACTCCTCACTTCTTCCTCCAGTAGCATGATGCGACTGCTGTCTCTAGTAGCCATTATGGAGCTGGAAAAGAGACAAAGAAAGAAAATTATGGAGGCAGTATACATTTTCTCATCAATATACAGTAAGCTTCAGCGTTACAGTAGACAGCTAGCTACATAGACAACACTATATAGATATACATTAGATTAGACTGTATAGTAATATAGAGCCCGTAGTTATCAATGCTCTTGCTGCAATATTGATTTGGAAATAACGTTAGAGCTCTAGTGACAGGTGTTACTAATTGTCCTCGAGACTAGTGCCTGTAATGATGTTCAGGTAGGTGGTCGTGTCATATCACATTACCTAGCAAGCAAAGCTAACTAGCTACATATTCATATGGTCCTGCACCAGGACGACATTTTAGTATGTAGCCTAGCTTCACTTCAACAAAGGACAAAAGGGAGAAGTAACTTTGGAGAGACCATAGAGACTAGCTGGTTTTCCCGTTAGCTAACTAGCTGGAACTGAATGTGAACTCAAGCAGTGAACCACGATCGTGCACTGCAACAGATGTTCTGTTTAGTTAGCCAGTCAGCGGCAAGTAAACAAACAAATTGCAAACATTACCTTGGGTGTTGACAACTTTCTCGGTCGGAGAGAGTAGCTAACGTTACAAAGCAAATCCGGAAGAGCTAAGATAGCTAGCTAGCTGGATAAATTGAACGATAACGTTACATGTCAAAAGTCCATGCGATTGAACAGCATCATCGAGGTCGGTAAGCAAACGTCTCCTAAAGGACAACTGTTTATTTATCCGTGCATATAAGGTATGTATTGCTGTCTACAAAGTATAGCAAGACGAAATGCAAACTTTGAGTGAATCACACAGTTGTCAATAGCTACCGAGACGCTTTTCCATTTCAAACAAGCGCGCTGTTTCCTGTTTTTTACTTCCCCATACGTCAGCGTACTTCCCTATACGTCAGTTTTTACGACACGCCGACGTATGGGGAATTAACTGAAAGCAGCGCACCAATTGTTTGAAATGGAAAAACATCTTGTAAAATACCAGATTTTTTTTGATTAATATGTACTTTAATAAATCATACTGTATTCATACTGTAATTGGTGTGTTAAGGGGAAATGCATGCATACAGCCACAGACCCCACTATCAATGTAGCCTACTCTTGGTCTTCCTCTTACAGTTAATTACTTACCACTTGCCCTACTTTTTAGTTTGATAATGGTTTATCATTTGCAGTTAGTACGAATGTTTAACATTCTTGGTATGGGAAAATGTGCTGTTTTGCTGGAGATGCAGCAACCTCCAGATTGCAGCCTATGGATGGACTCATGCTTGCATGCATACACTGTAATGAGTGGCCAGGCATGAAAAAGGATGAGAGAGATTACAATGAAGAAATATGAGGACTGGCAACTCTGTTGTCCATCACACAAATGTTGGTTCATCTGCTCTCTCTGTCTGGTCCTCCTGCCTGCCCGCTGAGAAAAAGAAAAGACAGAGAAAGAAAAAATAAGTAAATTGACTTAGCGCGATTAGGCTGTTCCTTGACCCACAAGCAGTGCCTCTCATTAGGATCCTCATTTGTGGAGCGATTTCAGAGGCAGTAGACTGGCGCGTACTGCGCAACATCTGTCCTGTTAGACACATGACAGACACATGGCATTTATACTGTATGAATCAGCTTTTCTCTTCTCCTCTGCCTGCCTGCTTCCCAACAAAGCTCCTTGTTTAATGGAGACGGGTGACCAATCATCCATTTAGGAGCCTGATTCTGTATCTGCATCACTGGAAAAGGGGTTTGTTCCCCACTTCATATCATTACAGAGGAAGACAAAATATCACCAGTGACTTTCTATGGGGTCCCGGTCAGTGATTGGATTTATGACTAATTCAGGCCCATTAAGTCCAGATATCAGGTGCATGGTTAGAAGTAAATTGCCCCTCTATGGCTGCGTTCACACAGGCAGCCCAAGTCTGATCTTTTTTTCCACTAATTGGTCTTTTGACCAATCACATCAGATCTTTTCACATCAGCTATATTTCAGAGCTGATCTGATTGGTCAATAGACCAATTAGTGACAAAAATATCAGAATTGGGCTGCCTGTCTAAACGCAGCCTATATCATCCACGAATACCCAAAGTAAATATGATTAAACAACAAATACAACATCCTGTGTAAAAGGAGTAATGTCCTTTTATTGATAAGTATAGGCTTATTTTATATGATATAATACCTCACATCAAGAAAACATGATCCAATGTTTTTGGCAAAAGCCCTTTGTTCAGATAAGGACAAAATATAGAGATTTCCCCTCTATTCACACATATCCCCTTTCCATCATTTCCGTGCATGTTGTTTGGCCATCATCGTTTCCAAAAGAGGTTACATTACTGCAACATGTTCCACCATGTTTTGACAGTGTGTCTGAGGATGTCTGGAGCAGTGTGTGTCTCCCCTTTTAAGTGTTTGTTGTCTGTCTTCTTAATGACGGATTCATCTAGATCTGAGGAACATTTTAGGCACATAAAATGCAGCTCTCAGCCAGACCCCTTCATCTCACCACAGATGTGTGCTTCCTGCATTTTAATTTAAAAAATAATCATTTTCTTCAAGTCCTGACTGACTTTACTCAAACTCTTGTCATCTTTTGATTTGTCTCCTGTTCTTCTTTCATCACACCGTTTGAAGATGTGTGACAGGTTATATCATTTTATTTAAGATCATTATTCAGAGAAAAACAGGTGTTCCCATGTGCAGTGTGTGTGTGTGTGTGTGTGCCCAGTTCTCTCTGAGTGCAATATACTGCCTCTGAGTCATCCTGAAGTATTGGTTGCCTGGAGATACATTTATGAGACAGACACATCCAGTATACAGTCTCTTTATATTGTCCTCCTCCTGTCCTATCAATTACAGACTAGTGTCTCGTGACAGACCGTTTCATAAAGGTAGCACGTGGTTTTGGGTGCCAAGATTAATTACACAGGAGTTATGTGTTATTTTCAGGCTTGCCGTTAATTAAGTGCAATACATTGCCACTGTAAATCGATGGAGCATGAAGAAAATCCCTCCCATAGCATATGCAGTGATACAGAAGTCAGAAGTACATTATGTTAAAGATGTTAAATGGACTCTTGTCTTGTGAGTCTAGTGTCTTTGAGGCCCCTCAGCCCTAATTGCCGCCAGTGTTCTAATGTGATGAGCCAGCCCATAAAATGAGTAGGCTTTACACTGTGACAGTCCCAATGAGCATGCTGTTCTCTTCCCTCCTCTCTCCACAGAGAACAGTGAATCAAATCAAATCAGCACAGAGGTGGAGAAACGACACGGAATCTTGATCATGCAAATGCCTCCATCCGCATGCAAAATTCAGGAAACAAGTGACAAGCACCTGGTGGGCTGAGGAGGAGTGAGGGAGGAAGGGAAGCCGAGTCTGGAAGCGAGCGACATTCCGTGGAGAATTCCGGGGAAGTATAATTGTCTCCGCCTGCCACCTCAGGTAGGAGGACTGTCATCTGCATAATAACATTACCTTTGATTCCACCTGAGAGAGGTGAGAACCAACAGAACGAACAGGGGGCTTACGATCACACTGACTAAAGAGTCACAAGTCGCGTTGCCTTTGAAGGAACACAGGAAGTACAAGTGTCAGCTGGGTTGTCAATTTGAACTCTGTTTAGCAGAATGTCTCTCTCATTCCGGAATGGTAATGAGCTTCCAACCTGTGAGAGCACTGAGTCTCATATGACATCACAGTCACTTTGCTACTCCACTGAGGGCTCTGTTCTCTGAGATGGGTTTCATTACAGAAGTGTGGGTGGCTAATCTGATGAATATTGATGGGTGGATTTGATATTGGGTGGTTTTTTTTATGTGAAAGGCTTTATATAGCTCACTTTTTTGAATATCTGCAAATATTCATGTACTTTTATTTTTAATATCTCTGCTGAGAATTTTTGACATATTGTAGGTTGTGACAGCGTGGAAAAAATGAAACACCCTGCAGCTAGTTATCTCAACTGGACTAGAGAATGATATCAGTCTTGACGTCAAGCATGAGCCATTCTCATGCTCAACCTTGTGGGACCTCGCGCCTCTCATCTCATAATACCCAATGACAGAGACGCCATTGATTCCCCCCTCCTCACCCCTCTCCCACATTAAACCTATCAATGTACCTAAATCAGACAACTACAGCGACGCATACCCCCCCCCCCCCCCCCCCCCCGGCACAAGCCCCTCAGCTCAGCCCCGGTCCTGGCCCTCTGCTTGACTCCCATCTGATGACCTTCTGAGCCATCCTCAGCAGACAGGCCCTGCTCATAATGGGAGGATTGATGAGAGGAGAGCCAACTTCCTGGGGGCCACCGTGGGAGGGGAGGGGGGGTAGTGTCATGAGCCCCGGGTCCAAGCTTACCCATGGCTCACCCATGTGGCGTGCCACTCCCCCCTGGTATAGTGTGGGAAAGAGGAGTCTGAGTATTTCCCCCAGGGCTCTGCATTGGTAGGCGTTGTCTTGTCCTTAGCTGGGTACTGACTGACTGAGGGCATAGCAAGGTGGTGAGGTTGTGTTTGAGTTCGCATTTCCCTCAAGAGGTAGCATCTAGGGCCTGGCGGCTCAGATACTGTACAGAGAGAGAGCATGTGACGACTTCACCATGGAACAAGGCGCACGCTATTGAAAATATGGTTTATCCTCTTTTAAAGGTGCTCAAAGTTGACCCATTTTGCATACCATACCATGTGACGTCCGTGTCTTCATCACTGGAAAAGATAAACGGTTGAGATTGATGTCATTTAAAAGCTTACAAACAGAGTTGTCAAACTATTTTATAATTTCTTGAAGAAGAATGTCTTTTTTTTACCTTAAACATCAATGATCTAAAAACGCATATGTTCACATATGCTGTAGCTTAGATCCTATTTTACATCCTCTGAGGTTTTTATGTTGTGCCCACCAACGGTTGAGACACAACATGCTCTTGAATACAGGGTGGGTGTCATGTTTTGGCTGATAAATGTACTAAAATGGGAATAACATTTACATTTCAACTTTCGAATGGTACCACAAAGATGGTTGGAGTCCACACATCAGAGAATGTTGACTTGAATGGGAATATCTGTTGTTTTAAATTATATTATCAACCCTCCATAGGAAACCTATTGCAATCATAGAAATATAGATCATAGAATAGACGTGACCATTTAAGTTGACATTCAACGGTGGGTGGACCGGCGGCCATCTTTGTGGTAGTAATTAGAAGTAAAAATGTCAATTCAATTTCAATAGTGTACCAGCTACATTGCAGTGGTCTGAAGCGATAGGTCCGTTCTATGAATTATATTTCTATGATTCAAATGATTCAATGATTCAAATGGATTGACCCTAAAGCGAGAAGGAGATAGAAAGACTGTATATAATGGCTGAGATCGCCAAAATAAAGGAAACACATTTACATTTTAGTCATTTAGCAGATGCTCTTATCCAGAGCGACTTACAGTTAGTGAGTGCATACATTTTCATACTGGCCCCCGTGGGAATCGAACCCACAACCCTGGCGTTGCAAGCGCCATGCTCTACCAACTAAGACAGCATAAAGTGTCTTAATAGGTTGTTGGGTCACCACGAGCTGCCAGAACAGCTTCAATGCGCCTTGGCATAGATTCTACAAGTGTCTGGAACTCTATTGGAGGGATGTGACACCATTCTTTCACGAGAAATTCCGGTGACTGAGACACACACACAGAGACACACACACACCCTTTAAACCCCCTATGCTCCTTTGAGACCCCTCTTTCAAAGTCACTGCGATCTCTTCTTCTAGACATGGTAGCCAAAATAATGGGCAACTGGGCATTTTTATATATGACCCTAAGCATGATGGCTTAATTAACTCAGAAACCACACCTGTGCGGAAGCACCTGCTTTCAATATACTTTGTATCCCTCATTTACTCAAGTGTTTTCTTTATTTTGGCAGTTACCTGTATATTTAGAGAGAAAGAGATGACAGATAATCTACTGTTAGGCGTGTGTGACATAACACTTAAATTACACTCAACATTGACCTTGGGATCCTGACATGCGCATTACAAGCCTAGTCCATGAAACTAAACCGCATTTTCCAAGTAATGCACAATGAACCCCAGGAGGTTGGTGGCACCTTCATTGGGGAGAACGGGCTCGTGGTAATGACCGAAGCGGAATCAGTGGAATGGTCTCAAATACATCAAACATATGGTTTCCAGGTGATGCCATTCCATTTGCTCCATTATTATGAGCCCTCAGCAGCCTCCACTGCAGTGAACGTATTACATCACAGGTGAGGTGATCATACTGAACATTCTCACAGGTTCAGAATGTCACCGAGCCGCCGGCCAAATGGCCCAGAATGTCCTCGCAGTGAGCAGTCAGTCAGAGCAGAATTAGAGCAGGTGTGTGTGCAGTGTCGACCGTGGCCCCTCCCATTTACGCTCTCCTCTGCCTTCCATGACATGATCGAATTGACCTTTTCTCAGTGCGAACTGCTGCTTCCCAGACAGATTGACAGAAAACCAGCGTAGCATGACCTTGTAGCTGACTGCCATCCCTGGGAGAAGGCCTCCAACTCTGGGTTCAATAGCTCATCATCAATACCCCCTCTGGGTAATTAGTGAGAGAGGCAGGGTCCTGTCATGGGGACAGATAAACCTATACTCAGTGCAGAGAGAGGATGTTCGTGTGTGAGACGCACATTTAGTTTTGTGCTCTTTTTCAGTAAATAAAGCACCTTTATGATACATTTTTAATCCAGATGTTAAACTGTAGAAGGGCTGAGTTTGGACGTACTTCTTACCACTTGCTGAGTAACTTTAATTAGTTGAACTGCCTGTGTTTATAAGCCTAATCAAATTAGACATCCGTGCTTGACAATATGCTAATGGCAGACGAGGTGGCGACTTCACACCAACATGGATGTCTGCAGCATCATTAGTGTAGCCGTTTAATATGTCACAACACTAATAAGCCCTATCATTAACAGTTTGTTTGACATGATGAATAAATTGGGGGTAGAAAAATCACTTTCAAAGCTATATAATATTATTGAGGCCCTTTGAAGCTATCAAAGAGACCCATATCATTATATTATCACCCCCCGAGTTGTAGCACTTCTATTTTCTGGACAATCCTTAAAAGGCTTGTTTTGTTGCTCACGGAGCTATGTAATATCTTGTTTAATTAGCTGGATTTAAGCTCTATCTCGCTAACAAACAGGCATATGGTCTTTATCCACCCATGGCCTTGGCCCAACCAATGAATATGCATATCCTGGGACCGGAGTTAGCTTGTTACCCCCGGAATGAATTCAGCACAAGTCTAATCCCTGATCTATTATTTACCCCTTGACCAAACATGCGAGTGGGGCTTCTTCTTCCAGACGCTCGACTTGATAGAAATGACTGTCTTGGGATTCCACTCTCTCTAGGTCCAAAAGTCAAGACTGAGAAGAAAGGAAAGACTGCTCTGATATCTCTATATACTGAGAGTCTCTTAGAGAGAGATAGTATGAGGTAGGGAGATGAGAGTCGAAATATAGAGTCGAGGATAGGATATATAGATATAAGTGATTATGGTCATGATAGCTGTTTTATATATATTATATCTATTATTATGTTTTATATATCTTTACTCTATATTCCTTTATATATTCTCTCTCTTTTCTCTCTATATCTACTCTTGATCTTATGATCTATGTCTATGCTCGATCGTGATAGTCTAGATACTGTTCTCTCGTCCTCTATCTGCTCTGTCTCTCTCTCTCTATATGTCTCTATCATCTATACGCTCTCTCGATCTCTATCTCTCTCTCTTCTCCCCTTACGCCCAAGTCCTATTACCCTTCCTCTCTTGACTCTTGAGATGCCTCAGTCAAATGTTGAGCAGCAAACCCCTCGTAAAAACAAGTGCACAATGAAACATTAATGAGAGAGCAGCACACTTCAGACGATCATCAGAGGGACACAACTTAGGAAACATGGGGGAAATCAGTGGGGGAAACCGGTGTCCTCAAGCATTCCTTCCTTCCTACTGGAGCAACTTGATGCACTAGTTTGAATTCTGAAGTATCTCACTCATCTCAAAGCCCTTTTGGTGTGTGGTGTGTGTGTTGTTTGTGTGTTTGTGTACACATTTTACTATAGTCCTCACAAGAGTAGTAAACCAACTAAAATTCAGAGAAGTAAGGACATTTTGCTGGTCCTCACTTGTAAAAAGGCTATTTTAGGCTTAGGGGTTAGGTTTAGGGTTAGAATTAGGGTTATGGTTAAGGTTAGGGGTTAGGGGTAAGGGTTAGGGAAAATAAGATTTTGAATCGGAATCAATTGTTGGTCCGCAAAAAGTTCTCACAAGTATAATAAGACATAGCTGTGTGTGTGTGTGTGTGCGTGCGGTTGAGCGAAATCTGAGTTTGCTCACCATAATGTGAAATGAAAAATATTTTGTGGGTACTGGGCACCGTATATGTAAACATTGAAAGCAAGTAAAGTCAACTTTGGAGTATAAGTAGCATGGTCTGGAAAGGTGGATAGGGTTTATAAAAAATATCAGATAACATTTTTAGATGTAATAATTATTGTTTTATGAATTTGGCATCTTTAATGTTTCAAATATTTCGTTTCTTTAATTGAGAATTAATTTCCCCATGATAATAACTCATTTAGCCTATTAACAACAATTTCCCATAAACAAACAGAACAACAGGTTACAGTAGGCTATTTAACGGGATCCTATCTCACACGAAATCTTACGGGAAATAAAAGTACAAGTGTTTAGTAAATTGTAAAAGGCTAAACACTGCTCCATGATTTTTCATGTCCGCAGGGTAGGGGTTTAGTCGAGTTGGCGCATTGTCACACACAGATGTGCCTCTTTACCCTGACACTACACCGTGACCGACTCAAACTCAAGACCCACAGTCACTCAGGTTACATTCACAAGGCGTATAACAGCCCCGAGATTCCTGTCAGATTTTGTACCGCTAGAGCCCGACTTCCAGAAGCCACCTTCCTAATTCTCCAACCAAGTCTTATCGTCCACAACGTGTCCTCGGCGCATACAGCTGATTTAGCAGAATAAATATCGGGGAGAGCCCGGGTCGGGACTATAGGGAAAACTGTCTTCTCCTCACAAGCATAGGTTTATTCGCCCTTTTCCCCGAAGACGCTGTCAGCGATTTCCCTCGGCATCTCCTGGTTCACGTTTTGGAAAGGGGACAGTCGTGCCTCTGCCTGCATTCATATCCCGAGACCGACGGTGTGTTCCAAAGCAACGTCTTCTGTTCTGCCATGACCAGGGACGTATTTTCTCAGTGAACCAGCCAGTGTTAATTTCTGAGGATAAAAGCCTGAAACGAAGACGCGTCTCCGTTTTCAATCAAATGTCATAAAACTGTTATTGAGCACGAGTCAATAGTTTTCTTGCGGGGACGACGCCGACTTTTTAATTACTTCAGACTGTAATATATCAGGGAAGAAGTCCCCCACTTGAGGGCGAAATCAGACATTCGAGGACGGCAAGTTCGAGAGCGCCAGGACCCGAGTCTTCCGTATACAACATGCAGAAATGGTAAATATGATTTTGAAACTGTTTACCCATTCAAATGAAGCCCTGCGTCAGGTATGGAGCTGGATTACAAACATTGATATAACTTTTTCTAACCGGCGACTGGCCTGTATGGCCTATTATTGCCCCAAGAAAGTTATAAATAATTAATGCACATTCATGATATTTTGTTTACTCTTTCCACATACTTTACAAATGTGATATTTTGTTTTGGATATCGGCAATATTTAGATTAGGCTTTTATCGACTATTTTATTATAATACAACTTCTATTTAGCCTACCTTTTGTAAACTTTATTCAATCAACATGTTGGTGGCCAATATAAAAATCCCTCACTGCAACACACATTATTATAACTTATAATAAACTAGGCCTATCACTTATCGATATCATGAGAATGAATATTATTTTAGGCGTTTACAATTTTCTGTTGTTTTTGTGTTTGTTGAACTTCAGTATGGAGTTGTGATTTTTACCCCAGGTGCCTGTATTAAGCACAATCAGACAGACAGTTTGAGTACTGAAACTTTTTACAAAATGTCCCGAACATATAGCCTATCCAGCATTTTTTTTTCAAATTTGTGAACATCCAAGGCCAGTGACACTTGTCAAGACGTCACCTTCAGATGTTGTTGATTGTTAGAGCGTGCATAACGATTCTACAGTGACCATTTTTTGTGTCAACTACTCACTCCAGTCTTTGGCCTACACAATGTAGCCTACCTCAGATAAAACCAATTATAGAATACACAACAAAACAAAATGCTATTTTAAAGATGACACCATGTAAAGCAATGTAAAACATCATCAATAGTACATTTCTGTTTATATTTACACACTGCTATATCAAAAATGTATCAGAACAAAAATGTTGCCACTATTTTGCATTCTCAATTGTAACCCTTTCCAAACAGAACTTTATAATTGTGGAAACATTTCCAGATTATGAATATATTCCTGTGTTACATATTTAACATGCAAGTACTAATGGGTTGAAATACTTGAACAACTTTTGAAGTGACTTTGAAGTTATTAATGTGTGATGCAGTTACTAGTAGCTCTTGGCTTGGGTTCATTTGGTTTCGTAGAGTGTACCAGGAAGTTGTGCAGCTTCCTATAAACAAACAAACACATAGCCTGCAGTTGTGAATTTTATGTTATTATAAGATTTTTTCAGTTTGATTAAATACAGTAGTTTTGAGGTGTTTTTATGTCATGACTTGAGGGCCAACAAAAACTACTTTTTTTTTGTGTGTGTATTCGAAAAACTATATTTGCAACAGCTGGTTGAATACATGTATACAATCCAAAATACTTTGTATTGTTGAAGACTTAACAATTTACAATGTATTAGCGTACAGTGTTTTCTCTCTGTCATGCATTCCTGTAGCCTACGTGTGTCTACGTCTATGTAGCCTTGCTTCTACTTCCCCTAAAAGTCGAGGAGTTGGAGAGAGAGCAAAAACGAACAGCGTGTGACAGTTGAGCAGAGCAGAGCAGAACACAGAGGCATTTCATGCCAGAGTAACACATTTCTACATGGACATTTCTGAAGGGTAGAGGAGTCAGGAGCGAAAAAGAAAGGAGCATATTCCCTCCTTCACTTTGACTGCTCCACTCAGTTTCTGGGTTCAGGGCTTTACATAATGTTTAGTCCTAATCTGGGGAGCCTGTCAGTGATGTTTCATGGTTGTGCAAGTGCTGCAGTCAGTGAATGGCAATTTGCATTCCAGGAGTATTATTTGATTACTTTTATCTGCTGCTGCTACTAGCCTGGGCCCCTTCGCATGCATTTCATCTTGCCTGCCGTTTAGCAGGTCGACACACCGTCGTTCCTTACTTATTCTCTCTCTCTCTCTCTCTCTCTCTCTCTCTCTCTCTCTCTCTCTCTCTCTCTCGCTCTCTCTCGCACTCTCGCTCTCTCTCTCTCTCTCTCTCTCGCTCTCTCGCTCTCTCTCGCACTCTCGCACTCTCTCTCTCTCTCTC